TTAGCCTCCAGTCCCTTAATCATCTCTGTTGCTCTCCTCTGCACTCTTTCTAGAGTCTCCACATCTTTTCTACATTGTGGCAACCAAAACTGAATGCAGTATTCCAAGTGTGGCCTTACCAAGGCATTATAAAGCCTAGAACTGTGTTGGCTTTTTTGGCAGCTACTGCACACTGCTGGCTCATATTTAAATGGTTGTCGACTAAGATTCCAAAATCTCTCTCAGAGTTACTATTGTTGAGCAAGGTACCACCTATACTGTACCTGTGCATTTTGTTTTTCTTTTTTCACCATTGAATTTCATTTTATTAGATAGTGCCCAATGTTCAAGTTTGTCAAGATCCTTCTGTATCTTAAGACTATCTTCTGGAGTGTGGCTATTCCTGTCATCTTGGTATCATCTGTAAATTTGATCTGTTCCCCATTTATCCCCTCATCCAAATTATTGATGAAGATGTTGAAGAGTACTAAAGAGTACTAAAACAGAGCCTTGGGGCTTTTGCATTACACCTACATTTTCACCCACTTGGGGGGGGGGGGGCAACGGTGAAGGTGCGTCTTATACTCTGAAAAATATGGTATAACATCCCATAGTTGGGAATCAGTGACATATATATAAATATAAATGGAGCACTTCTTCACACACAAACACACTTTTGGTATTTTCTTGTAGCTGTTCAGAAGGTGTTCTTCATTTCCAAGAATAGGCCCATTACTTGACAGAGTGCATTCATCTCTTTCACCTCTTCCTATTAGGAAAGTAGGACTTAGAAACCAGAAAAATATAAGGATATTTCAAAGAAATGCACACACCACACACTACTTTCCAAACATAGAGACAGTTTTTCTTTTGTGAAAGTCCTCACATCAACAATGAGGAACTCTATCAGGTTTTTTATCTGCCTAGCAGAAAACCGCAGAAAGAAAATCATTCCATTGGTCCAAATTTACATGAAATGTCTATCTAAGGTTTAGTTCATAGACTTCCCAGACTTTACTTTAGGAATATGTTCAGCTTAACAGTTTTATATACAAGATTAGTTAATTCTATACTTCCAGTATTGTCTATGAAATTTAGAACAAGGAACATTCCTGGACTTCCAGGGGAAAAAATGACAAACTGAAGCTAGCTCAGCATTTAGAGGAGCCACAACTGGGGTGAAGATAAGAAGCTTGCAAATACATTGGATCCATTGACCCTCTCTGGAGAGAGGAAAAAAGATTGCCCACATTGCACTCATTTACGTTTGCTCACAACAATTTTCACAAGAAAATTGCAATGCAGCTGTCTTTGGGAAAAATCAGGACCCGAGGGACTTTACCATTCTTGCTCTATGATTGTATTCAGTCTTTAGCTTAAGAAAATGAAGCTGTATCTTTAAAAGTTTACAAATCTATCTATATAAAAATGGCTGTGTGTGTGTGTGTGTGTGTGTGTGTGTGTGTGTGTGTGTGTGTGTGTGTTCCAGCATAACTCTGGAATGCCTTGAACAATTTCAACCAGACTTGGTACACAGATGACTACACTCTGGAAATAAACACTGTGGGGGTAAGACATCCCTAAAATCCCTTGGGGTGTGTGTTCTATTAATGTACAGCCTGTTGTGCCTTAAAATGGCTTCTATTGTACTGCCGTAAAATGACTTCTACTGTGCAGTGCAGTGGAATTACCATGGTAATTGCTTCACAGCACTCCACAAGGGGGCTCCCTCTGGTAAGGGGGAAAATCCAACATTAGAAATTACGTTTGGTCGGGACATTTTCCCCCTATAAATAATACCCTGGGTTATCAGCTGGTTCAAAATAAACAACAAAAAGGAAGACAAAGTTTTGACTAAATAAATTATTAAATAAATTAAGGGCTCAGAAAAAGTTGTGATGTTTGATTTTGAATATTCACATGTTGACATTAATTTTAAAGAATAAATGCATTTTTGTGGAAAAATACTTTTGATATTGGAGACATAACCAGATAAGCAACCTATGCTGTTATTCAGAGTTATCGCTGAGGAATGGCACTGGACTTTAAATCAATATTGTCAGCTATACTCTGCATGTTTTCATGAACACCTTGTCCCAGATGTTATTGTGGCAGAAAAAAAATATTGAAATTATTTTGATAATGTGATGTAATGGCAATGTGAACAAGAATTTATGACTGGAAACAGTGAACAAATCTCTAAAAATTAAAAGACAATGCTCACCATGAGAGTAAAGATTTATACGATCTGAAGAAAAAACAGAGTAATTGTATATTTTTCTTGCTAAACTTACAAAAGAAGCCTATTATTAATGGATAAAAAAGATTGTTTTATATAAAAAGAAGAAATATATTTGATCAGGTTTAAAATGGGTTAAGTTGTTAACTTGCAGGCTCTTTCTAGACTTGCTGATATCTGGACTGGAAAAGACATTGTATACTGAATTTGCTTCTAGTTAAAAGTCAAGATGGAATGATGAGTTTTATGTTTTGTTTTATATTAGTTAACAAATTTGTTTATTTCAGAACTCTGATTAGACTTTTTGCTGACACCTGGAAAACTTGTTATTTATTAAATTTACCTAAAATTAAGAGTTGAATTATGGGGTGAAAAGTTATGTATTTGTTAATTAAGAGGAGGTGAAGAGATAGTTGAACAGTTCGTACTTGTAATAAACTCGTGGGAAGTTTCTTTCTTTCTGAAAGTTTTTTATTTTTCAACAGTGCTGCAGAAAGTCAAACTATGAATTTAGAAACAATTGTACTTGGGGGAGTTGGTTCCTGTTTCACGACCAAGTAAGCATGAAGACAATCAAACCTTTACATGTAATTAGAAAATAAACAGAAATGTATGCCAAAAACTCTGATCCTGGCAAGAGGGGAAGAAAATTTGAACTTGCTCCCAACTTTGTTCGAATCTCCAGACCCTGATTCTCCCCTGGGGAGACAGGTTTTCATAATAGAAATTTTCAACCCAGGGCAATAACAAGCATGGAGAGGTTTTATCCAGTCACAAACTTTAATGATGACAGAATTATGGTGAGGTTAAAGGACTGGAATAGTTTTGCTGCTCCCTGTTCCACAACAATAAACATGTTTAAACTTCTTCCCCTAAAGTTTTTTTTTAAATCATGCAAAACATATTAGCATTTATAATCATCAAGTCAGAAGCCATCATTTAGACTGCTGAGTTCAACCCCTTGCTTAAGAAAAGTATCTAAGTTGAAACATCATCGAGAAAATTCTCTTCAGCTTCTAAAAGGAATACCACCATCTCCCTAGATAATTCATTTGCTTTGGCTGCAATTGTCTCACATTTCACAATAGCTTTTATCTTAAGAACAAAACAAAGATTACTTGAAAGAGCTTACCATTTGCCACAACTGCTGTGCCCAGTAGGCTACTGGGCACAGCAGCTACATATGTTCTACATATGTTCAAGTCGATCTCTAGTAAGCTACAGCCACTTCTTACCTTCTAAAACCTTGGCTTCTGTAAGGCTGCCCTCATCAGACTCAGATTCAGTGCTTTCTTTGATGCTCTCTACTTCTAGCCAAAAGGTATCCATTGCTAAGTTATTTGATGAGTCTGTCTGGGATGGCCTGTATTCCAACTGTGGAAGCTCTGAGGAGCTCTTCCGGGAAAAGTGATTCATTTTGCAAGGGCAATTTCTAGTGCTAAGAGAGAAGGGGAGAGAAAACACCCAATTATTATACAAATAAATATTGCGTATAATGCATCAGCAGGCCGACTGTCAACAACTTCCAGGAAAGATAAGGTTCTGCAACATCCTTATTTTTCTCATTTAACTGCAACTCCTTCTATGATCAGGGCCTTGATGAGATAAAGGGGCTTGTGTGGGTAAATGAAATTGTGGGTTGTCGGACACGTATATGCCCAGAAGGGTCTCCCCAGGCAAAGAGGCCAGACTAACACTGATCACATCTGCCAACCCGCACTGGACCAGCATGACAGATTATGATCTATTCCTTCCACATGCCAACACACCCGTATTGGTTGGAAATGTGTGGAAGAGGCCTCCATCCTGCAGTCGATAGACAATGCTAAAACGAATGATGAATGAATCAATGTAGACTAAAGCCTGAAAATAAGCCCAAGCTTTATATATAATACGCCAAGACACTGTATATGTATATGTGTATGTGTGTATGTATGTATATGTGTATATGTATATATGTGTGAATGTATGTATATTATACATACATACATACACATATAACATTCAAAATAATGCAGCACAGCAAAGCCGTTATGGTCATACAATCATAGTATATACACATAATCTCATCCATTAGCTATTTAATACATTATCTATCCTTCTATCCAATCACATTATTAACAATTTGTTCCAGTCTTGTCACCTTGTCTTATACCAATAAAAAAGTATATTCCAAACTTCATAATATTCCGACTCCCTTTTATTTTTTAATTCTAGGGTGAGCCTATCTGCTTCCGCACAGGCCAAAATTTTCCTAATTATGTCTAACTCTGATGAGATACTTTCGTTTTTCCAATACTGCACATAGGTTATTTGTGCCGCAGTTAATATATGGATAATTAGATAGAGCACAGCTTTCTTATACCCCTCCAGTATTATGCCTAGGAGGAAAATTTCTGGTTTGAACAGAATTTGATCTCCCACATTTGTTCCAACTATGATTGTATCATTTCCCAATATCTTTTTGCCTCATTGCATCTCCACCACATATGGAAAAAGGTGCCTGGTGTTTTTTTGCACTTTCAACAGTTTGGGGCCAAATTTTTAAACTTTTTGGAGAGCCGTGTGGGGGAAGATGCCATCTGTAGAACATCTGGTACAGATTTTCCTTATAAACCATGGACATTGTTAATTTCAGATTAAGTGTCCAAAGTCTTTCCCATTTAGCCAATTCCACATTGTAACCAAACTTTTTTTGCCCAGGCAACCATAGTTTCCTTGACATGTTCTTCCTCAAGTTTATATTCCAGCAGATATCTGTACAACACTTTAATCAACCTATCTTCTGTCTCTATCAGGAGCTTAAAATAAGCCAAAGCTTTGACGTAACTACCAAGGACAACAACATGTGTTTCCTTGTTCTCTCCTAAATTGCTCTTTTCTCCTCTAGACCTACAAGAGAACATCCTTCATAACATGCAGAAGAACAGCAAGGATTCAGAGTGGGTCTGTAAAGACAAAGAACTTTGCAAACTTAAAAGAAAACTTTTTGCAATCCTAAAATCATCAAAAAACACTATGTAAACTGTAATCCTAACACATTTGGAGGACATGAAGTTAGAAAAATCCTAACTAATTACTTCTGATGCGAACAGCAGAATTCAGGAAAAGCCCTCTGAATAAAGCTGGCTTCTTCACTGAACTGATGATTCTCAGGCCTCTCATGCAGTGATTTTCTCAGGCCTACAATCCAGGATACAGAAGTGCCTGAACAAAGCATACCTGTGTAACAAATCACAATGCTGGGGTGGGAAAGAAATGCATTGAAAGAAATTCACAGGAAAGTTAAAATATATATTAAAAAGGCAGATTATTGGCTAGCCTCCAGTTAGCCTCTCAAGGTCTTATAATTACTTGGCAGGGAGATGGCAGATGAAAGGGATTTAAAATAAAATAAAATAAAACATACATATATGGGGGGGGAGAGTGAAGGAATAATATAATTGGAAACCAAGTCTCTCTTTCATTTGCTTCCAAGTCTTTGCCTTAAGCATTATCATTTGAATAATGGATTATAGTAAGTAATCACTTAAAACCTATGAGGGCCAGATCAACTGATATTAGGTCTCCCCAGCAGTGCAAGAATGTAGTGCGGCTAAGTAAATTAAGCAGCTGGAAAAAACAGCCAATTTTGATTCACAGAATAAGATTCTGGGAAGGAAGAACTTCCCAAATCAAAATTATAATTACCATTCTGCTGCCATTCCAAAGAGGAACTGCAGAAAAGAAACTCAACTTATACCAGTATTACTTACACAATGCTTTATGGGTCCCACCATCTAGAACAGTGATGGTGAACCTTTTCAGCACCAGGTGCCGAAAAGGGAGCACACACGTGCAGCACTGAGTGTCCAAAAGGGAGCACTTCGCGCTCATCCGTGCCGCAGCCAGGAAGAGGAGCTGCCCAGGGGGCATGCGCATGCTGGAAATGAACTCCAAGTTTCTGGCACGCACATACACACAGGCTAGCAAGTCTGCCAGATACTGCCATACATGCGCACCCAGTGATCAGTTGGCTGGCACACAAGCTCACTCCGGAAAATGGAAGACCAGCTCTTCCAGTTTCCGGCAGTGCCGCATGCACTAATGCCAGCTGACCATCACGCGTGCATGTGCGCCAGAAAACCAAAGAGACTGGAAGAGAATTCTGAGCAAGGTAATGACACAGCCTTTATATTCCTACATTTCCCTTCTTGGGTCCTGATAAATGGATGGGATATTTAAACAACCTACCACCAGATTTGCAGATTGTGTGAAGTTGAGAATAAAGCAAGATAGAGGATAGCATAGCAATGTGCCATTGGGAAGAGCTCTCCTGATTCAGAGGCTGGGATTAAATGTTTGGCATGGTTTATTTAATTCTGACAGCATTTTTGTGTTCAATCAGCTTTTAAGACAACCACATCTGGATCAGTGGTGGGATTCAATTTTTTTACTACCGGTTCTGTGGGCGTGGCTTGATGGGGCGTGGTATGGCTTGGTGGGCGTGGCAGGAGAAGGTTACTGCAACATCCCCATTTCATCCCGATCAGCTGAGACTCGGGAGGCAGAGAATAGATGAGGCAGGGCAGGGCCAATCAGAGGTGGTATCTACCGGTTCTCCGAACTACTCAAAGTTTCCGCTACCAGTTCTCCAGAACTGATCAGAACCTGCTGAATACCACCTCTGATCTGGATGACAAGAAAATGGGATAACCATTAAATAGCATGAATCTCTTTAAATGACATCCAATGTGCTTGGCTTTTATGGTAGTCCCATTTTTATTATTTACAAATATGGGTTGATATCCACAAGCTAGTAAAAATCTCTAGAACTGCTGAGAAAGATATTTTTTTGCTAAAGTGGCTAAACCTACATGCAATTTCTACTTTATTCAAAAGTAGATGATTAAAAAAGGCTGAATCTCTACCTGAAATAATGCAATTTATCAGTGCAAAACCTTAACATCTGTTCTATGGTACCTGCAGAGCTAAAGACCTCTCTGTGATATTTTACAGACTACGAACTCTTTCCTTGCTCTTCCCCCGACGCCAAACACAGTTCCAACAAATGCAGACCTTTTCATTCACCAGCATGTTTGCCCTACCATGCTTTCATTATGTCCTTGTTTTAAAATCTTCTCACTCTGCTATTTGCAATACCTTACAAATACTTTATGAATTACACTTTTGACATGTGGCTTGGTAGAATTAGAATCCAGCACTGACCCAGTCTGGAGTAACAGGCCTGTAATTACAACCTGACTTCATGCAGAGCCGTTTATCATGTCCACTGTGATGATAAAATGCTCTTCACTCCACTCCCTGAGTCAGAAGAATACTATCAGAAGAAAATCTCTATTTTACAATATTTTGCTTTATCGCAGAATGGTGGCCTCTGCTTCCAGATTAGCAGGGTGTGTTTAGCTAAGAGATTAGTTAAACCCTGGCTCTGCTGCTTTCCCACTTGCCAGCCAGTGGAAAACCACCCACCCACCAATCATAAGCTGTGATGCAAGGACAGTGTTTGGGAATGGTGCAGATTTGACAGGTGGCTCAAACCACATTCTCCTGTTTTACTACTCATGGGAAAGGAAAGGGTGCACCACCTCTGCATGCTTGCTGAGGAATTGTCCAGTGAATTTGAGGAGGTATAAAATTTGGACAGGCAATCCAGTCCAATCCACTCCCAGGATAATAAACTACTGAGCAGTTTTCAGAAAGTAGCAACTTTTGAAAGATGGCTAGGCCTGCAGTTTCTGAAGAGTGAATATTTAACCTTCTTCAAAATGCTGCACTTCATTTTTGGGTGGGAGGGTAAGAAGAATGATGATGAAAGTGTGCTGAGGGAATGGGGCACACCTACAACAGCCTAAAATATTCCTATATTGCTTGATTCATCTCCCCACTCCCCCACCAGGGTCCCCTGACTGAGTTATTGACATTGGAAACATTTCAAAATTGCTTGTAATTTATGTCGGCTTAAGAGAAAAACACTTCAGCTCCAGTTCAGTTAAGAACAGGGAACATCTTTGAAAGTGAAGGCTGTCAGGGTTCCAAGTAACACCCCCAACAAAAGAAGAGTCTGATGCTTGAGTTTCCTCAAACGTCATTTCATTAGAGATGTCATATTGTCACATCTGGGAAAACCAGAATTTGAAAGCTTCCAGGTTTTCTCTGCCCAAGTGAAAGTTCAAGTCCCTGCCCAGCACCCACACATCCATCACATGGTCCAATCAGGCACCGTCCCAACTGGAGATGCCTCCCAGTCACACCACTCCAGGTACAGGGCAAAATGTCCTTGACTCTGAGAAAGGACTGTTATTTAGACTGTATATCTCCCATACTCCATATAATTCCCCCCCCCTTTTTTTTTTCACATAGCAGAAAATGTGGCAGGTCTGAAGGCCCAATAGCCTTCCATCCTTCCAAGGTGGGTAAAATGAGGACCCAGATTGTTGGGGGCAATAAGCTGACTCTGTAAACTGTTTAGAGAGGACTGTAAAGCACTATGAAGCGGTACATAGGTCTAAATGCTATTGCTATCAACTAACGGTCAGTACCTGGTTATACTGAGATAAGGGTCAATGGCAATCAAAGGGGCTTGAACTTAGTTTGTGGCTACATAAAGGATTCTAGGCTGACCCCTCTTTTTACTCCTCCCCCTGGCACTACCAGTCCTTCTCTTATAATGACATCATGCTGCCTAACAAATAAACTAAATTCTGATTATGGGACAATTTATATTAGTTGGCTTCCAGGCCTGATGGGGAACACCGAGGGGACACAGCAGAATAAAAGCATTGCCAGGGGATATCATGCCATAGAGGTAGCCCTCGACTTACAACCATTCATTTTCGAATTTACAACAGCACTTAGAAAAGGACTTATGACCAGTTTTCACCTTTACAACCGTTACAGCATCCCCTTGGTCATGTAACCAAAATTCAGATGCTTGGCAACTGGCATGTATTTATGACAGCTGCACTATCCCAGGATCATGTGATCACCATCTTTAACCTTCCTAACCGGCTTCCAACAAGCAAAGTCAAAGGAGGAAGTCAGATGCACTTAATGATTTAGTGTTTCACTTAACAACTGTGGCAAGAGAAATCATAAAATGGAGCCAATTGACTCCATTCTGCATAGCAACAGAATATTTGGGCTCAATTGTGGTTGTAAGTCAAAGACTAACTCTAGTTAGATTCAAGTTTGGAAAGGACCTTAATTTATGCTGAGATGAGGAATAAAAGCAAAGAGGGAGAATCCTAATTTATCGATTATTCTTCCATGGAATCTATTAGAAAGGCAACCATGCCAATGTGTATACAGGTAGTCCTCAACTTACAACCGTTCAATTAGTGACTGTTTGAAGTTACAACGGCACTGAAAAATATGACTTGTGACCATTTTTCACACTTACCTCCATTGCAGCATCCCCGTGGTCATGTGATCAAAATTCAGACTCTTGGCAACTGACTCATATTTATGATAGTTGCAGTGGGATCATGTGATGCCCCTTTTAAACCTTCTGACAATCAAAGTCAATAGGGAAACCAGGTTCACTTTTAACAGCCATGTTACTAACTTAATCACTGCAATGATTCACTTAACAACCGTGGCAAGAAAGGTCGTACAATGGGGCAAAACTCATTTTTCAAATGTTGGGCTTCATTGTGGTCATAGGTTGAGGATTAGCTGTATTCTGCAATTGCATTGTTCTGACCAACTGTGCATAGTCCTCCACCTATTTCATGCAGATAGCCAAACAGAATACTCTAGGTTTAATTTCCAATAGATAGGGATGAACAAAGCAGAGCTCTTAATTCACTGAAGTTAATACAGTGGTGACCTGAATATAAATTATACAATAATGATCCAAATCAATTAGGCAATAAATGAGGAACTGAAACAATAATGCCACCAGGCAGCTCTCAACATTCCCAGCTGCGTTTTCCCCTGTGTGCACAAAGGTAATGCTTTGTGCAAGTCTCATTCAATTTCTGAACTTCTAATTGTTACACATCAGTCAACTATGAAGCATCAGTTTAACAAATTTATGAACAGGAACAAGGAAAGCACAAGGTTGGCATTTCTAAACATTGTTCATCTGCATCTTGACAAAGTTTTAGAATTCTGTCCTAAAGAGCTACTTTATTGTTAAAATTCTATTCGGAAGATCAAGTTTTAAGAGTCTTGGTCATGGGGCTGAAATATGTCGAAACATCAATTTTAAAGTGGAATCTTGATGGCTCTTTTAAACTCCCCTCTCTCAAAATCCCTCTGTAAGTGTTAATCCGCTTTACATGCAGGCTAGATCCGCACATTACATAGAGCAGTTTGGTTTGATCTTAGACCTGTGATGGTGAACCTATGGCATGCGTGATGGAAGAGGTACACAGAGCCATCTCTCCAGGCACACCAGAGATCACCAGTTGCTTTTCTGGGTTCCGGCGTGCATGGTCTTTGTGCACACACGTGCACCAGAAACCAAAAGAGCAGATGACCAGCACGTGTGCGCACACCAGAAACGCAGCTTTCTGGCGCACGCATGCATGCTGGGGAACTGCTCTTCTGGTTTCTGGTGCTTCCTGGTGCGCACGTGCACTCCCATTTCAGCACTCGGTCCCAAAAAGGTTTGCCAACACTGGCTTAGACTGTTGTGTAAATCAAGTCAACTGCAGTTTATTCAGAAAAACATGATTTAACATCTTAAGAGTTCCTGCTTCGGCTATCTTCTCACACTAAGGTTGTCCAGTAGTTTTCCAGGAGATGTCTTCTGAGTCAATGTTCACTACACTCCAGCTGTGGAATGCTTGCTCCCTCCTGTAAAGCATACAACATTTGTCCTCTTTGCAGCACCAGGCAAATAGGCTTTTATTCTCTGATGTCTTTGGATATATTATACGTCATTCTAATTCAATAAGTAATAAAAGGTCTTGCAAACAGTAGAGAAATAAAATATGGACCAATTCCACCAGAACAAAAGCCAAGAAAAATGTACTAAAGCCAAGAAAAATGTACTGAACAATTATCGTAAGTTGCAAGCTTAAGAAATGGAAATTAAAAACATACCTAAAAAATATTTGTATTTTCTTCTCCCTCCCCAGAACCCCACTGAGAAATGAGTTTGGCACACAAAAGCAATCTGTAATTCAGTGATATGTCAACCATAGTTGAAATAAGATTTAGAGATGGATTAACTTCAGGGCCAAATACACAGAGAGAAGGGGCAATGTTTAAGTTTTGTCTTTAAACATTCTTAAAACTGCAAAAGACTGACAATGGCTGAAAATGCACGATCAGTTTCTGCACAAAGTTTGGTGATCTTGTGGAATGTCACCAAGTCAGTTTCTGAGCTTAGAGAAATCACAGCACAGCTGGCACTTAGCCTGAAGAATAAGAAATCAAGTAAATGTTGCAAAAGAACCTGGATCAATGACGATCTCCACTGTTTTTGGAAAGAATGGCCTCAAAATTATAGAGCTCAATCTGATGACATCTCAATCACAACCCAATTTACCTGTTGTGGTTGCTATAACACTAATTGAACAAGTGATCACTTGAATGAGTAATTGAAGTGTCGGTATATTTTCCATTACATTTTGAGAGTGTCAAGTAGTCACAGGCTCTATTAATCATGCCTACAAATATATAACAGAGGTTTCATAACCTAAAGACAATTGCTAGACTTAAGTAAAAAGACTGCAAGGACAACTTAAAACAGGCTGATTTATCTGCATTTCTTTCACAATACCATTTTTTCATTTGCACAAAAAGAATGTAAGACCTTTACAAAAGTAAAAGAGACTTTGCAGTATTAATTATAGAACAAGTACGGTTATAAATAAGGTACAAACCTAGAAAAGAAACTGTATGGCAATTAATGTTTCCTACACAATGCACAACTCCATCTGGGGGAAACTAAAGAAAAAAATATCCATCTGTGTATGACATATAAGTAGTTGATTCAATACTATAATACTGTAAGGTCAGCACCAAAAAAACACTAACACCCTTATACTAAGACATTATACTAAAACACAAATAATTGGAACTATTCAATAGACATATTGCAGCTAACTAACTAACAAATTGACCACATGCCACTTGTACATGGAGTACAATACTGACACATATAATTTCTGTATTCGGTTCTGAGATTAAATGAAGATTTCTTGGAATTATAAGCTTCTAAGTTTTGATAAGATATTTTGCATGTTAAAAATTACTTCTTCTATCTTCTACATTCACACAGTTCCTTTCCCCTATTCCATAGCCATCTGAAGTCAATTAATGCTGGCTAATGAGCTTCCAACATTACTAGTAAATGTTAGCAAATGGCTAGTAAGCTTCCTGCCATTCTTAATTTGCTGTTTTGTCATTTTACCTGAATTTCAGCTTTTTATACTACTGCTCTTCTACCTTATGCCACATCTACGTGGTGGTGTAAATTCAAGAGGAAGTAAACACAAGTTAAAGCAAACTATACCTGCAAACCTCTGGGTGTCCAGAAAATAAGACTGGCTGCAAAATGATTTGGGGTCTAGGAAATCGAGTTCTAACAAATCCATATCTGCCATGCTTTCCAAATTTATCCATTTTCTTCATTGATAGCCCAGAGAATTTGCTGCTGCCAAGAAAAGCGCCTATGAATTCATCTGTGTCCTCAAAGTATCCAGGAACAGAAGAACCTATGCTGAGAAGTTTGAATTGTTCAGCAAGAAACAGCCCTGAACACAACGCACCTCCCACTCATTCCTCAGGAATGCTGCTAATTGGGTAGTAGATCCTCCTCCTTTGCTCTTACCCTGATATACACCCAGTGAGAACAGAGAGATAAAATCTAGCCAACATACCCATGACTTCAAGTATGCATCCAGGCACTCATTCAAGAATTGTCGTCTTGTGCTTGAAATGCAAAGGATGCCTGTCTTGTATGTGAAACTGAAGGTGGAAAGACGGGACTTGTTCTGGTGTCAGGCCAGGCAGTTTGGATCCAGAGTGTCTGCTTGCTCCATGCTTATCTCCCATCAGCTGATTAGACATAAAACCAGAAATACCTGCCCAACCCAGACTGTAGTTGGAATAATAAAATGCCCTGGCAAAAGTTGGCAAACAGTTAAGTTTTGGTCTTTATGTAGAAGGGAAGGCTAGACATAATTTTATTTTTTAACAAGCCAAGCTACATTTCTAGGGCTCACTGCCATGATCGATCTTCAAAAACCAGGTTGCGGAGGTAAAATAAGGATATGGTTGGCATCTACAGCAAAGTTACAGCTGAATGGGCAGCAGCCTAACACTACAACAAATCACAACATTTCTGGTTTCTCTTAGAAATAGCATTCCTATGTAGAAAGAAACTTCCTCGAAACAAAAACTAGTACAAGTAGTCCTTAACATACGACCATAACTGAGCTCAAAATTTCTATTACTAAGTGAGAATTTGTTAAGTGAGTTTTGCCCCATTCTACAAAATTTCTTGCCACAGTTATTAGTCACTGCAGTTGATAAGGTCTGCAGTTATGAAATGAATCTGGCTTCCCCATTGATTTCGCTTCTCAGAAAGTCACAAAAGGTGATCACATGACCTTGGGACAAAGCAACAGTCATAAATATGAACCAACTGCCAAGCATCTGAATTTTGATATCATGATCACAGGGATGCTGCCAAGGTCGTAACTGTGAAAAATGGTCATGTTACAGTTTTCAATGCTGTTGTAACTTTCAATGTTCATTAAATGAATTATTGTAAGTCGAGGACTGCCTGTAAATCAGACCAAAAGGTCTGATTTAGGCCGTTTTAAAGAATACTTGCAAACTTTCTCCATTCAGTCAGCTGGACTGCACTATCTTAAACCTACTGCAGAGAAATATCAATCCTGATTTTTGATGGTAGAAAGGGCAATGGTTCTAATGATGACAAAGTATTTCCAGAGAAAATATTGAAGTTTATCCTGAGAAACAATGCATAGAGAATTGAATATAACACAAGCTGCAATGTAAATCCTCAACAAATTCTTATAAGAACATTGGAGAAGCTGCCCAAACCAATATTCTGTTACCCAGATATGATGATTAGGTTACTTATGTATTAGAAGTGATATATTCTCAACACAACAGGCAGCTTCCAATTTAGAGCAATATGAGCTAAAGGAAAATCAAAGACACAAGATAGTGAAGTTTAGTTAGTACTATTTTTTAGTACTATTAAGAAGAGCATTTAATATGAAATATCTATTTTTCCTAACGGATATTCTTAAAATATATGGGTTTCCCCATCCACTGCTAAGAATGCTAGTTTGAAGTGTATACATCTAAAGATAAAGGTTCCCCTCGCACATATCTGCTAGTTGTTCCCAACAGTAGTGGGTGGTGCTCATCTCCATTTCAAAGCTGAGCCAGTGCTGTCTTGAAGACGTCTCCATGGTCATGGGCTAGCATGACTAAACGCCAAAGGCGCATGGAACGCTATTACCTTCCCACTATAGCTGGTCCCTATTTTTCTACTTCCATTTTTACATGCTTTTGAACTGCTGGTTGGCAGAAGCTGGGACAAGTAACAGGAGCTCACTCTGTTACACGGCACTAGGGATTCGAACCGCCGAACTGCCAACCTTTCTGATCGACAAGCTCAGCATCTTAGCCACTGCATCCTATGTCTAAACACATCTAGAGCACATTAAAGAGGGCAAACACTGAATTAAATAGGCTGTTATTTATAAGAATTAACTGAATAATAATCAGTTCACATAGTCATCATTTGATAATTATGGATTAGAGCACTGAGAGCCAGACTGAAAATATAATATATAATGTCAATTGAAATATAGTCTTATCAGTAGAGCCAGTTCTACAGAGAACATCTGGCATTTAATAGGTTCAGGATTATCAACCTCTACTAGTATGTTTTCTGGCAAGAAGATACAGACCTTCTCATAGCTCAGTGATGAATCAAAAAGTAGGTAATCTTGCCCCCTTTCATTTCCACAAATATTTCAAATGCAGACCAGTCTCTCCTCCCCCCTCTCTGTGTGTGAGTGTGTGTGTACAAAAAACATATTTTAGCCCTTGTCTATCCACTGCAGGATGAAAGCTTCTTCCACATATTTCCAATCAATATGGTTGTTTTTTGCCAATTGTGCCCGCAATACCATCAGCAATGTCATCAATCCACCTTCTTTTAGGTCTCTTTTGTAGACACTTTTTTATCAAATGGGATCCATTCTATGACTGCCTTAATCAGAGATCGACCCCTAGGCCCCTAACATATGGGGTGCCGCAGGGCTCGGTCCTGTCCCCCCTTCTTTTCAATATCTACATGAAACCGCTGGGCGAGATCATCCAATGGCACGGGATAAAATACCACCAGTATGCAAATGATACACAGTTGTATCTGTCCGCCCCGTGCCAACTTAATGAAGCGATGGACGTGATGAGCCAGGG